CACACATGGAGATGCATATCATCAACATTTTTCGCATTTAGCATGCGATTTATTTAACAAGCACTTGAATTACAGCATTCAAACGTGAGTTGGCAGCTCGCTTACTCTTTACACCTACCTTGAGTTGCCCGCCCTTCACTTGCCATTTGCGTGTGTACCTGCTTATGCTCACCCTCTCCCTACCTCGAGCTGTTTGCTTTACGTCAAACTGTCAACACAACTGTCAAGTCTCAATGCTGCTTCCGCTCTGAGCGTACATTTCCACCTCCCACCTACCGCTTCCCGCCTGCTCGCTGGAGTTGCTGCTCTTCTGTTTCGCATCTTCATTTGAATTCACACGCTGTTTCTCTTTGGTTTTGCTTTTTACAGTTTCTGTTTCTCTTTTTTGCACGTAAACTGTTTACCTTAATTAAAATTATGTGCAGCACACAAACAGTTGGCAACGCGGTGCCCAAAAATTGTTTGAGCGTAATAATAAAGTCATTTCCGTTTCCCAGCTGTGCAATCGTTGCCAGAATGAAGTGGGGTTGGGTGTGTGTGTGTGTGTGTGTTGTGGAGGAGGGGGAGGGGGGCGGTTAGTTGGTCACAGATGGAGGAGGGTATAGACGTTCGTCCATAACCTGTAATTGCATGTGTAATATCTGCTGCCTGTGAAAATATGTGTGTACGGGTGTGTGTGTGTGTGTGTGTGTGGGCACACACACGCGTGGCGTGTCATAAAGTTTGGTTAACAGCAATTCATGCGTAAAGCAATGTGGCTTGTTTTGTTTTGGGCTGCCCACGAGTTCATGAGAAATAGAAAATAGCAGGGACCTTGGTCAAGCTGTTGGCACCTCAAACATGAATATACTATACGATTACCTGCATATCTCTATACCTCATAGCTCTATGGGATCGAAGTGTTTAAACATATAAACGGACAGGCACACAGATTGGCATGCCTTCATCGACTCAGAAATAAATGAGAGCTAAGTTGTTGCAAGACTAAGTTTTTGTCTTATTCAAGCTATATTTAAAAAACTTGCTTCATTGCGCTCTCTACATATAAGTTTGCCAACAGCTGCCGCAGGTCGTTCAAAACTTAAAATATTTAGCATTTTTTGTATGGAAAACTTTTTTGTTTATTAGAAGATCTTGAATACTTGGAATACTACATCATCGAAATACTATATTATTAGACTTTTAGAGGAACAAAAACCTATATTTTTAAATATTTACTTAGGCAACATATATACAAAAAAATACCTGCAACACTAGACTCCTTGATATGACTGTTGATGCTGCTCAAGACTGTTCTGGAATAGGATATAGATGCTAATAAAGCCGTTTTAAACCATTTAGGATATTGGGATTAGGATTTACGATATATTCATATGCATATGTGGCAATTTCAATATTCAAATTCTGAAAACTTAAGTCTTAACTAGTGCTAACAACTTAAATAGAGCAGTACCAATCCCTTGGCTTCAGCTTATAATCGTCTTATTTATAGTTATCTGCTCGGGAGGAGCGTAAAACACTGCGCAGAGCACAGCAGCGGACCACATTCGTTGCCCTGCAGCTGCTCACATGTGTCAGTCAGCTGCACCGTTCAACCCGGTCCAACCTTCCAATGCACACACTCACGCGGCGGATGCCTTGGCAGCGGCTGTCTCTGGTTGTCAGTTGGTCTGGCAACGCCAGGCGTATGTGCTGGCCGGCTTGGACGGGCGCGTTAAGCGTGAAATGATGCAAATTACTGCGAGGTGTAACACCTTTTATCAAGGACTCGGCGTTGCCACAAAAATGAACTGCATGCACAAACTGACGCAATTTCTTCTCCGTCCCCAGCTGCTTTTGTCATTTTCAGCATTTTGTTTGGGGCCAACAGGAGAAGAAAAGTTTAAACTTTTAGGCTGCTGTCCGGCATTGCTGGAGCTGACAACTGAGAAATTAAAACGTAAAACTAACAGAGAGTATTTTTCCATTTTTTTTATTTTTTTTTTTGACTAGAGCTTTGGATCTGACAAGATGATGCTAGAGCTTGGCTGCTCCAGCATGAAATTATATCATATCCATATGGCAGTCCTCATTTGGCAATAGGCTTTGCTCTCAGCTCTCAGTTCCCAGGCCCAACGTGCCCAATCAATTTTGTAAAGCCTTTTCAGACACATTGACAAACTGAGAACAATTCAATTTTTGGCTTTGCTTAGGGCCTTTTACCCTGTCGCCGCTCGCTTTTGTTGTCGTCTTATTATTATGCTTGTGGGGCTGGAAAAAGCTGGGCGGCCTGGAGGGGAAGCTTGTCTGTGGACCAAGTGATTTACTAGCAGCAGCAGAAGCGCTGCTCCTTTAACGTATACTTATTATTATTGTCGTATATTTATCTGACGCCTGCGTTTTGTGCGAGCCGCATAAAAAGCAATAAATATTAAATTGTATAGGGTGGCAAAGTTGTCTTGGGTGGGCGTGTCTTGAGGCTTACCACACAGTGAATAGACAGAGAGTTCTATTTGATGTGAAACTTAAACAAGCAATTAATTTATTTTCTGCTGCGTGAGAGTGGGACGCATATTCAAGTAGGCAATGTACCAACTGTGTAAATTATTTTAATGGACCTTTTGTTTAAGGCGGGCATAACAATTCCAGTTCAATTCCAATTCAATAAGTTTCTTTAATATTTAATGGGGCTTTGTGAACAAGTATATTATATTTTAATTTCGCTAATTTCATGACGTTCTTTGATTAAATGCGAAATTATTTTCTTATGTCGCATTATTTATTTTTGATGTTTTATGAAAGCTTCGTACCTAGTTTCCTTCAATCATATTCTGATTTATTGTCTTTATATTGTTTAATTTGTGTATTTAAAAATTTACTTCAGTTGGATTTCGACTGTTTCATAATCCACTGTTTCATTAACAGAATAACTTTCTAATGTTTCATTTCCGTTGTTTAATTAAAACTGTTTCTTTTCCACTGTTGCATATCCAGCACTAATATGTTATTTTTGCATTTCCACTCTTTTACTGTCACAGTTCCATTTTCGCTCTTTCATTTCCAACGTTTCATTTTCGCTGTTACCTTGTGCAATTTTTCCTTTTTTCGACATATCTATTTACACTTTGATTTCGTATTTAATTCTTATGAGAAATGAGAATTTTTATTGCTTTATTTAAACTATTTTATTAGCTCAATGCACAGGTTTTCTTTGAAAATCCCTTTTGCACTTTTGCCTATAAGTTGAACCAAAGCAAAATGCAATCAAGCTTGTCAGAAATTTCGCAATACTCAAACACAGTCTAGCAATTTATTTTCGTATTTAATTTTCGTTCACTAAAGTTTTTATTTTCAGTTTGCATGCCCTAAACCTATTGAAAATGGAAACAAAGGGGCATGTTGGTGTTGTGAAAATTTGCGTTAGAGACATGCATACAGGTATATTCTTGGGCAGCATCAACAGCCAAGTCCATCTTGTGTCAATCTTAAGGACTATAAGAGCTAAGGTTGCAAATTTTTATAACTTGAAAGTGAAAGTCAAATTATCTATAACTTCCCTGCTTTCTGCAATATCTAGTTTCAGGTACCGGGTATACGGTATCTGCTTGTCGGTCTCGACCTTTGCAGTCTTACGTATTTTTTGTTGCATAAAATCGGTAGGGGTTGCCCGTTGGCAATGGGCGTGACGAGTACAACAGCAGCTAAAGTTTGAATTATGAAAGAGACACAGAAGCAACGGCAGCAGAGCTCAACCCACCAATACAAGCAACAACGTATGCTGTGTATCCTGTATGTGTGTGTGTGTTGACATTTCCGGTGGCCGCATGATGCTGTATGTGTACATCTGTGTGTGTGTGTGTGTGTGTGTGAGTGTCCGTGTGTGCGGTGTGTTGACAACAGGCAGGCAACTATGGTCAAGCTATTGGCTAAAATTGTTGACGTTTTGCATACCCTGTTAATGTCTTGTGCTGTTGTTGGTAGGCTTGGTTAAAGGAAAGCCCCAAAGCACTTTAAGACTTATGAGCTATAATCAATTTTCTTTTATTTTCACATATGGGCACTTACACCTTGAAACTCTCTTAGATCTTTAGTTCCGATCATTACGATAGTTCAGAGAAGCATTTGTTGTGCCTTTCGATGGCTTTACAGGTCATAAACCTATTGATCAGCTTACATTTGATATTCTCTTGTCTTTCACTTTTTTTGTGCTGCTTACGTGTTGATGAGTCGTCGATGAACTCTCCGGTTGACGTTGTCACTGAACATTTTCCAGGTCTTCCTCTACAACTGCCCACTGCTGCTGTCGTTGATGATGACATTTTTGTTGATTACAACATTGTTGCACATTGTTTGTCTCGTTGCTGTTGCTGTTATGCTGTGGCTGAACCACACCAACCAAGTGCACTTTCAATATTGAACCGAATTCGCCCACGTATCTCCACACCCCGCCCACCATCCCTTTACATAGCAACTATGCATTTTTCAAGCATTTTGCATACAAATTTTGGCCTGGCCAAAGGTATCGGATGCCGTAGATAGGGGCAGGGGCTGCTATATTGGATTTTAGATAGTTCAAATGTTTTTACTAAAGCATTATTTTAAGTTTTTTTTTTTTTTTTGCTGCCCCAAAGCTGAGATGAGAATGGTGGGATGAAAAAAATGGTTGCATTTCATTTAGAAATCGTTCACTCATGCGATATTGAAGTCATTTGCGGGTTGGTTAATGAAAATAACGATCATCTGAATTTTATTTAAGTTATTTTATTGAAATTGTACGAGTATTGAATTTGTTGTGTTTTTTTTCATTTTTATTTTAATACATGATTTGGGTATGGATTTAGCAAAAAAAAGTTATCAGCATTTAAAATCAATTTATTTATTGTTAACGCTTTTTATTAAACATGTTATTAATTATAATTACCAGCCGTAATCGATAGTTGGTTCTGTATAAATATGATATTTATTAGCTTTAATTTTAATAAATAATAAAAATGTTGAAAAAGTCCAAGAACAGGTTGCTCTCTTTTTTCTTCTATCAATAATGCATGTATTCGCAACACTTAAAAAATAACAACACAAAAATAAAATTGAATATATATATATTTGCCACGCCCATGGCAATCAACTGCGCCCAGTTGATTTGTCAAATCAGTTGTTGATTCTTGTACGCATCTACGCTTTCTTATTGTGTTGGCAACTTGTTGTGCAGTTTGTTGCTGTCTGTCAATTTGAATGCAGCGCGATTTCCGTTTCCGTTTCACAGACAAATGCAGCAATGCTAATGACTGTCCCTGTCGTTGTAGTTGTGAATTATGTGTGAAAGATAGCTAAATTATAGCACGCATGTGTATTGTTGCCACTCAATGCTGTCTATGCTACGCTAACTGCCGCTGCCTCCACCCACACACAAGCACCCACACCCATCCACACACACGCACACACACACAATGACCGACAACAATAACAAGAACAACAATAGCAGAAGCAGTAGCATAAACACAAACAACTTTGAATAGCTTCCACGCATTGTGCCGTCCTGTAAATTGCTGGCTCAATTATGTGACTAGCCCTGCCCCACGGATCTATTTTCTCCCTCCAGCGTACCCCACCTCTTGCTCTCAGCATACCATACCTCTTTTTGTGCCACCAGTTTATCAGCCAGCCGAGACACATGAATCAGTTGGGCCGCATCGGTACATTGGGACATCCATTTGCAGGCTCGTTGACGGGGTCCTGTTTGGCTGCCTTCTTGCTGGGAGCCTTGTTCAAACAGTGCGCCTGCACTTCATTGATTCTTCAATTGATTTATGCGTCTAAGCACCACGAGGCGGATGAGTTGCAAAGTCATCGCCTGCGCTGCATTGCGGCACCGAACAGTCAACAGATTTTGATTTAATCCATTTGGCGTGGCATGCCACAAACTGAGAGTGCCTGCAACGTGTGGATGGTCCAAAGTAGGGTATAAAAAATAGGGCTATTTAAATGTAAGTTTTAGCTTTAAGCTGCATTATTTACTTGCATACTATAGAAGTTGTATACAATTTTGTCTTCTTCAAGATATTTTCACCCAACACAAGCTTTCTTATTCCCCTCACACATCTGCCAAGCCGCAAGCAAAGGGTTTTTATTGTTCGGCTTGCTGAAAATTGCCGTTCTTTTATGTTTTTGTTTAAACAAATAATTGCGATTTGAGCTGCTTCAGTTGCATTTATGACGACTCTTGAACTGAATTAATTTCGAGTGCTTCTGTTGTTCATTTCAACTTTTTAATTAGAATAGCTTCCAAGTCCTGTTGTTTGAAGTATACTTAAAATGAAAATATCCTATACAATTATTTGTTAAAATTCTTGTATTTTTTGAGTTTGTTAAAGCCTACTTCAACTGTATATTTAAGAAAGTAGTGAGTGCAAATTAAATAGAATTAATAATAATAACCAACAGACAGATACAAATAAGAGTGTCATGCTTATTTCTGATATAAATCGAAATACTTTCAGCTAGCTGCATACAAAGAGAAAAGTTTTTGATATTTTTTATAAGCGGACGTACCAGTGTGTTATGCCCACAACTAGTTGCTGCCCCCAATTGATTCGCATGCTCCCACATTGTGGAACTGCACATGACAAGCTCAACATGAGCTCGTCGCAGTGGCAATTGCAATTATATGGCAAACTGTATTTGGCGTTCAAATCACTGCAGCACCACTCGAATGTGGAGGCATTGATGTTTTGGTATGATGGGCTATATTGGGGTTTGGTCAGCGCTGTTTGCTCTGTGCCCCCCCCGGTCTAGATTTTGGTGTTCAACTCGTTTCTGTTCATTCGCTTGAATAGCATGCATGAAATGTTTATTGCATTTCACAAGTGCTTTATAAAGCTGTGGCGATAACTGACGAATATTATTTTATTTGCCAAGGGGGCAAATAGATGAAGTAAAAATTGAATGCGCATCGTAACGAAATTATAAAGCGGCCATAAAGTTTCTTGGCAAAGTTGTTGGCTTTCAATTAAAGCAGCCAAGCAAAATTTGTGAGCGCAAAACTTTAACAATTTTGCAGCAGTCGTTGCAAGTCGCCAAGTTCAAGTCAGCATGAAAATCAATTGAAGCGTGAATTTGATTTAATTCACTAACTTTTTTCGGGGGCGTGGCCCGCTAGCCTGTTGGGCAAATTCTGCGACTTGGCATAAACTAACTTCCGTTGCAATGGCAGCCAACTGCAGCTGATGAATAAAACATGTATTTATGCGATAGTCAAGGGGTTGCCAACGAGACGAATTGTGCCCTGGTCTTGCCCCCAGCCAGCGGGTGGCGATCTCCAGTTGGCAAGTGGCACCATTCAGTCATCCAGCTGTGAGTGTCAAGTGTTTTTGGAATGCCTTTCCAGCTCGGCTACAAGTCTAATGGCATTTTAAGTAAATCACAAAATACATTCCCGTATTTATGCGTCTGTCTTTTTCCTCTTTAAGGTATTATGTTACTTTTTAAACACGTTTTGATCTTAGGGCTGCTGAAGATTGTATACTCTTGCAAAAAAAGTAGATACTCATATTTATTAGCATTTTTATACAAATACTCAATCATTTCATTTCAAGGATTTGGTATGCCGTTTTGTTTTAAAATCTCTTATAGCATAGGTAAGCTTATAGCGATATGATGAAGTGATCTGACTCTCGCGTATGCCTAATATGGTATGATCTAGACGACTCTCACATATGTAATCTCAGCAACAAATAACAATAAACAACTATGCTATGTTTAACTTAACCAAAAAAGCTTTAAGCCCGACAGACTGCGATAAATAGAAACAGAAACAGAGCGGCCGACAGACAGATGGACGGATAGATAATGTTATGTAAATGTATTACTCATATTATATTGAAATACTTTAAATACTCTATGCATTTTCTTGATTTGATTATGAATCTGCAGTTTAAGAGAATTTAGCATGAGATTATATAAGAAATAAGTGCCTGAGCTCTAAGTCCTCAGTCTTAATAAATATAAGCAGGAGTGTGATTGCCAAAACCTTATACAAACAAGATAGTGTTTCTCACATATTCACTCATCATCAAAAGTAATTTTCCAAGTCTGCTTAAAATGTTACACCAGAAGTCCACAGATAAAAAACCTCTTATTTGCCATTTCCATTGTTACGTGGCAGAAATTTGCCATAGAAAACTTAAATCACAATCCTCTGGCAAATTATGCAAAACTTAAGCGCTAAGCGCTGGTTGGTGACAGGACATAGGGCACAGGACACACCAGCGGCGAGTTAAGAACAGCCTGTTTTGAGGTTCATTTCATGGCCGCTAAGCCGTAACAACTGTCAAAAGCATTTGCCAAGTACAAAAACCCCAGCATACATAAATAAATAATTGTAAGCTACTTAGTGCGAGGAGTTAGCTGGGGTCAGCTGGGCGGCCCGTGGATTTGAGAAATGTTGAGATTCTCAGCATTGCTTTGCTTTTAAAGCATGCAAATGCGACGAGCTCGTGCGGCATGCCAGACGAAACTATTGGAACTGAAGTATAAATAAAGCCTTATATGCTAGCGGCCGAGCATGGACCGCGGCCACATATTAGTTGGAAAATTAATTAAATGTTGAGGCACAAAGCCACTAAACTGCAGAGCTTGAAAATCAATTCCGCCACGGACCACCATTCTGTAAGTTTTCCGAAAGCGTCGCCAGAAATTGCACTATTCGAGCTGGCGAAAACTTTTGAGAAACTGCGTTCCTTTAAAGTCTCGTCTTGGTTGTCTCGTTCTGGGCCTGTTTCAGCTGCAGTTGCTTCCTATTGTGTTCGCCTTTGTTCGCTATATTTATATTTTTCAGTCTAAAGACTCAACAACAAAAAAACAACAACAACAACATAGGCAACAATTAATCATTTTGACTTTTAATCTTTCATTTGTCCACAGCGTCGGCATCTTTATCGCGTCTCGGGCCTTGCCACGCCTCGCCTTATAGCCTTAACCCGTTTTGTTGTTGTTTGTGTCAAAAGTTTACATAAACCTCCGCATGTCAATCCCCCTTGCCTCTCTCTGTCTACAAACAAGAAAATGTCTTCTATCTATCCGTCTGGGGCATCCATCTAAGGCTCAGTTTGTTAAGTACGCTTTGGGTCGCTTAAGCAGACTTAATCGCATTATTACTTTTACGAGAGTTTTTCTCTATGATTTACGCTTCCCGAGTGCAGTACGCACAACTTTCCTTTTACCTCGCCCGATACCCGGTTTCTCATGGCTAAATTTGTTGGAAATGAAAACATCAGAAATGAACTTTTAAGTGCGGATTTTGTGGTCTGACATTGGGTACCAATGTGAGCGTTTTACTTTTGAATTCAAATTAGTCTGAGAATTTTTGCAAATGCGATAATACAGTAAAATGGCATTAGCTTAAAATATGTGTAAAATTTTGCATAATTCGGCGACTTAAGAGTTTCCAAAGCGCAGATAAAAACATATTGAGTTCTGTACATTAAAAATTAAAGCATGTTTATGCTACGTTATATTAAATATGAAAAGACAATTGACAACTGATTTAAGTTAACTTTTCTAGTATAAACAATAATACTTTTTTTTAGCCTGACGCTTGCAAGGCTTCCAAAGAGGATCCGCATTTTGAAGTACTTGAATTAATGGCAAAGTCTGTTAAGAACAGAATTGAGAGTTGAATAAATCAATACAAATAGCTTGCAAATAAATTAATGTTTTCAAAGAATAACGTTATTTAAATCAATATTAGCATATGATTTCTTTGAATTTATCAATCTTATTCTGTCTTTCAATATAACAAATATTTTAATATATTTGTTACAAAAATCATTTAGTTCTTCTGGTCAATGAAATCTAAAGAAATTCAACCTTTTGTTATAAGCAAATATAACAAGGAATTCTTAAGAAAAATTAAACGTTTTATTATAGTTAATCTTTATAGCTGTAAAATATGAAATATTTATTATAGACGCAGAAAAGTATGCAACGAAAATGTGAATTGCCTCAAAAGGACCAAAAGCCTTATACAGCTGCGTTCTTTGCATGAGCCATAACAGATTACCACACAATCTGTTGATGTTATAGACCATTACCCATGTGCAATAAAAATCAACACACTTTTACTGGTCATTTATAACTCAATTTCATTGGCCGCGCACACACACGAGAAATCAATTGAAAAATCACATTAACTGCACACGCAATTATTCCGATCATCATCGCCATTATCATCCCCATCATTCGCATCATCATCTTCAGCGTCATCATCATTCGCATCATCATATCCATCAGTTGAACAGCAATTGGTGTAAAGGGGCATAAAACTCATTACATAAACGTCCACAACAGACAAAAATCGCATTTGACAAATTATTATGACTCTTTATATTATGATGACTGCACGAATCCTTAAATGCTATTTCGATTTTATGCGCTGCTCATTTCAAAAAATGAAAACCATCCAGCCGAAACAATTTCCAAAGACGAGCCGCAAAAAGGGTACCAAATTCGGGAGTTGGGCTACTCGGTAATTGGGTATGTGTGTGTTGCTGTGCGCGTGTGTGTGTGTGTGTGTGTATTTGTGCGGCAATTTTCTGTCAAAGTGTTGAAGAGTTTGAGTGTCAAAAAGCGTGTGCATGTGTGTATGTGAATGTGAATGGAGGACTCCAAATGATAAATGACAGCAGCGCTGTTTTGCGGTTCACAAAAAGGGCAGCAAATTTTCAATGGGGGTGCGAAGAGATTTGAGCACATTTTGAATTGTGCGGCAAGCGTTAAGTGTCAAGCGCTAAAGCTGTCCAATTGTTAAATTTTCAATGACACTTGTCCTAAATGACATATTAACACTGGAATTACAACTAGCCCGCCACAATCAGTGCTGGCTACCGTCGAAACAATCTTGATCTTAGCTTCAAGGAAAAAAAGGAACGATAAACCAATTTTACGCAGTTCAAAGCTGAAATTGTGGAAACAACAATGGTATTTTAATATTTATTAAATTTAAATTAAAAATTGCAAATTAAAACATTTAAGCAAAAAAGATGTGGGCGTGTTCTCTGCGAAGCGCAGACAAAACAATTAAAATATTTTTAAACAATTTTCGACGCAATTAATCAACTCCACAACTCACTCAATTCGTCTCGTTCTCCGTCATTTTTTTTTTGGGGTTATTTGGAAGTTTTTCTTTTTTTTGTTTTTTTACTCCCCTTCCCACTGAATTTCAAGAGTAAAGCAATTACAAGCATTTAAAACCACAGTGGCGGCAAATTGAAAATGGAACAGACAAATTAAAGAAAAATACTATCAGGCCCAACGCAAAGCCAGAAATGGGTTCATAAGTATGC